TCCTTAGAGCTTTGCAATCATATATATATATATATATATATCATAAATTCGTTAAAATCTATAAAGTTCTTTCTAATATTCTCCCAAAAAGAAAAAACTTTCACACACAACGTTTATAATATTACAGGAAATCTGTACTTACCAATTCAACTGTACTGAATCAGAAAGGAGAATCTTACCATTATTTTACAATTGCATGCTATGATTTATTCCATATTTAGATTTGTTAAATTCCTTTAAAGCTACACCATTTATATGATCTGGTTTATTCAAGTATCATCAAATCTACATGCCATCCAGTGTGGCTTGTTGCATGGGAATATTATGATTTTCTTATTGAATGTTTATACTTTCTAAATTAGCGTTCAGTTTTGCACTGGCTTTGCTTTTTCAACATATCATTCCTTGTCACTTAAGGCCATTCTGATGAAGATATGCCACCATTATCGTTATTTCATTCTGTAGAGTATGGAAATGTGCACTACAGTGAACACGAATTTCTTAGATAAATACTTGCCAATGGTTTATCATTTTAATTCTTAGGGATGGCCTACTGCTGCGCTCCTTTTACTTCAACAGGCAAGCGATGATACAAAAGAACAAAGAAAAAGGAAGGCGATGAATAAATCATTTAAGAGACCAAAGAAGATCATGAAGGTATACTATACATGCATATTTATTGTACAGTAGATATACACTGGCCCGTTAAGCATGTGTCTCGAACTTCTGAATTGATTATAAATAAAAATTCAACCATCTTATTAGCCAATGTTTTCACCTTCATAGTTCATAATGCTTATAATCATGGTTCCTTTCAGCTGGTGGATATCTTTTCAGCTAAGCATGAACAATCCAGCATGACAGTCAGAAATGGTATGTTCTGAGTTCATCAATTTGTGATTTATTGTATAAAAGAAGAAAAATCACTGTCTTATGATCTATGAGAATTGATCAGGGGGAGGTGCAAACAATGTGACTAGTATTGAAAATTCTAATTCTATTCAAGACAAAACAAATATTGGGTCGAATCATTTTGGAGCAAATCCAACTGAGAGGAACAGGAACTTGAGTACAAAACTCTCTGCCACTAATCCTCAACTTACAAAGGAGGTACTGAATTTTTGAGTGTTATATCACATATTATCTTTCTGGTTACCTTTCTATATTAGAAAAGGGAACTTGATAAAGGGAAAGTGAAATTAATACATAAGCTAACTGAACTTTAAAACTTTTATTGGATTAATATACTGAACATATACGAATATCTAACGTTGATCTTTTCATGCTAATCATGCTTATAAATTCCTTAAAATCTAAAAAAGTATTATTTTATGCTCCCAACAAGAGAAATCTTTTGCATAGGAAGTTTATAGTATTACCTTGGAAGGAAATTTATATGTACCAGTTTAACTGTATAAAAAAGGAGAATCTAATTATGATATTCAACTGTAACTGGTTTACTATTGGTGTTATAATGGCCCAAAGATACATTGCTTGGATTCACCTCATTGATTTCTTTCATGTTTAAATTTATTAAATACCCTAATAGCTACACCATCTATATAATCTAGTTTATTTAAGTATAAGTATCATCATATCAGCATACCACCCTGTGTGGCTTGTTGGAGGGGCTTCTGCAGTATTAATACTCTTTTTACGATTTCCTGCTTGCATTGTAAGTGATTTTGGACATGTTTTTGTTCAATTTTTGCATTGGTTTTGTTCTTCTTGCACCTCATTGCTAGTCACTTAAGGCCATTTTGGATGAAAAGCTACCACAATTGTAGTTATTGTTATATATACAGCCTATGTAGATGTGTACTAAAGTGAAAATGAATTTCTTTGGTAAATACCTGTCATAGTTATAGTTTTGCTTTTAATTGTTACTGATGCCCACTGCATTTACTTTGACAGGAAAGTGAGGAAGAAAAAGAACAAAGAAGAAGGCAATCAAAGAAGAAATCATCCAAGAGATCAAGGATGAAGATGAAGGTACACAACATATTTATCGTATATCATATGTATATATACTGGCACTTAAGTGTTAGGTGTTTTAAAGTCAAAGTGAGTTTGACAGTTTCTGTCTATTAAAATTCTGTTTCTGTTTTTTCCTTGTTTGTGTAACCTGCTGCTGTACATATAAATACAAATACAGCATGCACCTTTCTAATAAAGGTTGAATAACAGAAGTGCTCTGCACATGTTCTGTGTATGCACCTTGTCATAAACAACATTAAGTAGGTGTGTCGAACTTGTTGGAAATCTCACGTCCATTAGAAATTAGGTCAATTTAAAGTATAAATGATAAATGCAGTGCGCAATTATCATACCATTCACAATCCTTCTTGACAGCTCTTTCATTTCCTTAAAGTCATAATCTTTTCCATAACTTGTGCGTTTCACCTTGGCAGATGGAACGTGAAAGGTTAAATGCTTCCATTGAAAATCTAGGTGTCGAAAATGCTGCGCTCAGAGAAAAGCTTCATGACCTTCTTCACGAGTGTGATAAGCTCATAGAAAATAACAATTCCATACTGGTATGCCATTTGAATCCTTACTTGTCAAGCTATATAACTGTTTCTGTAGATTTTTAAGTTGAATGACTAAGTACTTGTATTCCTATAAAAGAAAAACATTAATGGTCTCATGTTACATTCTTGCTTTGAAGCAATTTGAAATTTTAAGAGATTTAGCTATTTATATAGAAACAAAATGAAACATAAACATGATTTATCTAAACTAGGAAACTTGATAAAAATGAATGGTCTCATGTTACATTCTTCGGTTGCTTTGTTGTGTTTTATTTTTTGCCACAAACTTTAGCATCTGATCTGGTGTGTTATGGGGACAGGATGAACTCAATGAGATGTATGGTAAAGAAAAAGTAATGGAAGTTTTGAGTATGCAGTATGCTGACTCGGGCCAATGCTGATCAAAACTCTATAATGACAGATGAGATTCAAATTTCAACTTATCTAAATTCTATCATTTTCACATTACAAGCCATAATTGGCTTTCCTTATAGAAATAACTAAAGTCTAAACAGATGACAGACGTACTATAATGCTTTTATCGGTCAGCTTTCAAAACATCTGCATGATAATTTATGGTCCTTTCTTCAATGGATAGCATTTTCCTTAATTTCATAGTGCTATCCAATTTTTTTGGTAGACATTAGATTATTTTTTTAGATATGAGATTTTGTTATGAAGTTTTGTGATTGTGCTTTTCTCCCCTTTCTATGTTTTTCTTATCCGCGGCTTTTTTTTTTACCAGTAATAGATAATAGGATAAAACTTAAATTCAATACTTAAAACTGTAAATGTTACTGTGTAATAAATATTTATATTAAAATATTACAAAAAAAAAAAGTATCAGATGATACTTTAGTTATAATTAAATAACAGTATTGAAGATACGATCTTAAGTTGTCTACCTTTTTCTCTTAACTGTGCCCATTCACATTATTATATATAAGTAGCATTTGACTATTTTTGAAAGGGGTATTTTTATAGCATTTGTTGATATATTTATCTTGACATATTTTTTATGTAGCTAAAGTTTATTAACAAAATGCAAAAAATTATAGGTGGATTTGTAGGAAGAAAAGATGTAGTTTTATATTGGTAAACACGTTTTTTTTAAATAAAAATATTTTTAGAAAACATACGAGAGACTGTGTTTCTAGCGTTTCAGTTTTTTAATCGACATGAGCAAAATACCTTGTTTAATGTTAACCAGTATTTGCGAAACTTCTTCTGCCAAATGATTTATTTTAATGCAAATATTCTGAAGATGTATTTATGATAAATAAAATCTATCAAGCTAAGTAATTAACATCATAAAAAAATATGGCTTAATTTTGTTTTAAATTTTTAATAAATTTAAAAACTTTCAATTATGTTTTTAATAGATTTTTATGGTCTATTGAGTATTTAATAAATTTTTATTTTTTAATTGAATTCTGAATGTCAACTTGTCTATTAAATTAGTGATGTGACTATTAAGTGGTACCAATCTCTTTTATAACTTAAAAAAATATGTGACTATGCATTAGTAACAAATGTTGGAAGGAGATACTGGTGATTAGGATCTCTTGCAATTTTATAAGAAGTTTTTTTTTTACCGTATTTTTATATATTCATAAATAAAGTTGTATTGTGAAATTAATTTATGCAAAAACAAAAAGATTGAAAAATATAAAATTTCACTAAAAGTGACTATTTTAATCTATTTATAATGAAAGACATAATACTCATGACAACCTATAAAGACAACAAGAACATGAACCACAATAAAAAGTGGAAGCCTAATTACTCACGAGTAAGATTCTGGCCTTGAGTATTTTGGTTTTTATGATTTTTATGATAACTGGCATTGTTTTTTAAAATTATAAGATTATAAAATTATAAAATAATAATTTATAAAATTTTAAAATAATAAAATTACATATTACAACAACTCAACAAAATATATGACAAGATCGTAACCAGAAAAGTGGCATCACTAAGTTTAAGAGTGGAGATTCAATTGAAAAATTTAAATTTATTAAATATTCATTAGACCATAAAAATTTATTAGAAATGTAAATAAAATTTTTCAAATTTATGAAAGAGTTTAAACATAATTAAGCTAAGCAAAAAATTATTTAATGTGACAGAAACACAATTAACTATAGTTAGTAGTAACCCGAGGATGCGGAGAACCAAAAATGACATATTTGGTAATCTGGCAATTCCCTTGAAAACAGAATTTCAGGTTATTTGAAGGTAAAGCTGAATAAAAATAAGTATTATTTAAATTTGCTTGGAAAGCCAAACATAAAAGCTGAACATAATTTGATTAATAAAATTCAACAGTAGTATTACTTGGTTAATTTTTCATATAATTATGGTTAAGATTTCTTGAAGAATCTTCTTCCAGTCTAAAATTTGATTTGATTGAAAGAACGAGAAGAGATGGAAAAAATGGATGCCTAAAAAACAATAAAATGGTTGACCAAGAAACAACAAAAAACTTAAAATTAGCATACAACAAATGTTACAGAAGAAAATCCATGTAAGCCCCACCAAAAACATGCATTAAAAAGGAATAGAAAGAAACAGAATGAGGCCTAAAAGCATAACTCAGTGTACTCATAAGATGATATCAGTTTGTACCTACACATGCTTTGTAGCTAATGAAATCTACTGTGAAACTGTTCTAAGCAATTGACCCGAAAAAAAATATACTCTCAGCAGCAGCAAGATTATCAATTTGAGCCATCTGGGAAAGGTTTGAGAGCATCCTGCTTTCCATCAACGTAGTACTGAACAATTGCTTTCATTCGGGGAAGTTTATCAGGGTGGTAATTCACGTGAATAATTACAGGCTTCAATTTGCTGAGGTTAGCATCATTCCTCACTGTCTTGAACAGAACCTTGCTGTTCATGAAGAGATACATATCCATAGTTCTTCTGGAAGCATGAAGCCCATCATAACCAGGATGTGATGGGTAAAAGAGTTCCTCATTGAAAACAGCCTGGTCCCAAGCCTTCTCTTTCGAAAGTCGTGTTGCCACACGATCCAAAAGCTCGATTGAAGGGATTGTTGGTCTAATATAGAAGAAACCAGAGTTGTAAACCCATATCCTCATAGTATGAGCAAATCTAGCCCAACCCATTGCAGGTTCATCAAAGACATCGTTATAGCCGTATGCTGTCATGTTACTGTGACCATCGCTCATGGACTCCACGTCTGAATCCCGGTATAGATGATCGAATGGATTCTGCAAATATACAATGTCCACATCTGATAAAAGAACACTGTATCCCAACTGCAAAAATTCTCTTAGAATACGAAATTTAAGACCAGAGACAGCATGGTTACTCCCGATTCTTCCAATCACATCAACACTATCTTCTGGATCTCTTCTATACACTGGCACTTGATTTGATTCACAAAACTTCACAATCTCATCGTCTAAAGCAACAACTAGATAGTTGGTTATGCCAACTCTCTTGATGTTGGTGAACCATACCTCCAGCATCTCCTTTACATTGGCGTTTGCAAGTCCAACTATAAGCTCTCGTTTAACTGCAACTTTCTCTAATATCTTTCCCAATCTCGAGTTCACAGACTCATCAGGAACAACAGTAGGGTTGGTTCTCAGTCCCTTTACTGTACCAAAGGGTCCAGCTTTAACCTGTTTACCTAGCGTAAGGAACTGCTTTTGAGCCTGGTCTTTCCCTTGCTCTGCAAGGCGAAGCCTTTCAGTCAATTCCCTCACCTGTTTTTTTAGCTCAGCATTCTTCTCTGATACCGCTACAAACTCTGATTTCAACAGGTTGACCCGATCTGAGGATTCACATCCAGCTGAATTTTCCTGCCAAACAAAATCCATGATGAAAATTATGCTGTTTCTTCTTTCATATAGCATCAAACACATCCTTTCCAGAGTGTGGGTTGAAGATCAATAGAAATTATACATTTTGTGGAACACACTTCCCGTTTTAAAATTCCTAGTTACAATTTTCTTTTCAATAGATTTTAACCGATGATACAGAGTGTGTTACAGAGTCTTCTACTAGAACTTCTCATATAGAAAGATACTTATGCAAGGTAAAATGAGTTTGTGCATAGCTAAATTTAAATCCTATAAATCACGTGTAAACCAATCAAAGAAATATCAAATTCTGCCTATTCAAATCAAGCCAAAATAGTACGTAGACTTGTGCATTATGCCTAGATTGCCTCTTAACTCGTCTGAAGAAACTCAACAACATCATCAGCTATATCTCCAAGTTTCAATCATCATACAAACAGAATTCCAGTTAAGCTTCTAAACCAGGAGATTGCTTCATCCCGAGGCAGAGAAACCAACCAGACATGATTTTCAGGATATACTAAGGTAGACAAAAAGACCATTCAGAAGCACACATTTAATACTAACATCACCATCATACCAATTTGACAAGCAAAATTGACCACCGTACAAATCCACAAATTTTTAAAAGAGGAAACAAGTGGGTATTGTTTAGCCAGGGCATATAGATCGAAAACTAGCAAGATCAGTAAGATCAAACACAATCCAACAACAACCAAAAAAAACAAAAACAGTGGTCAGAACATTGGGAATTCCCAGTCAACGGCAATCACAGATGTGATGAAGATTACCAAGAGACCCGAAAGCTGAAACAGTAAGAAAGAGCAAAAAGGCAGAGTCTTTGACGAAAATGGAACCTGGGCTATGGATCCTGCGTTAGAGAGGCGGCGATTAGCAGCGACAGAGTCAGAAACGAAGAAGCCATTGGGGTACAAGAAAGCGAAGACGCATCCAATAAGGACGCCAATTGCAACTGCGGTTAGGACCCTGGATTTGCGTAGAGAGTTTGGGTTGTTGTTCCTCATCAAGGGTCCCTCTCTGTCTCTGCGCCCAATCATTGTATCTCCGAAACCCGATGGNCTCCAGCATCTCCTTTACATTGGCGTTTGCAAGTCCAACTATAAGCTCTCGTTTAACTGCAACTTTCTCTAATATCTTTCCCAATCTCGAGTTCACAGACTCATCAGGAACAACAGTAGGGTTGGTTCTCAGTCCCTTTACTGTACCAAAGGGTCCAGCTTTAACCTGTTTACCTAGCGTAAGGAACTGCTTTTGAGCCTGGTCTTTCCCTTGCTCTGCAAGGCGAAGCCTTTCAGTCAATTCCCTCACCTGTTTTTTTAGCTCAGCATTCTTCTCTGATAACGCTACAAACTCTGATTTCAACAGGTTGACCCGATCTGAGGATTCACATCCAGCTGAATTTTCCTGCCAAACAAAATCCATGATGAAAATTATGCTGTTTCTTCTTTCATATAGAATCAAACACATCCTTTACAGAGTGTGGGTTGAAGATCAATAGAAATTATAAATTTTGTGGAACACACTTCCCGTTTTAAAATTCCTAGTTACAATTTTCTTTTCAATAGATTTTAACCGATGATACAGAGTGTGTTACAGAGTCTTCTACTAGAACTTCTCATATAGAAAGATACTTATGCAAGGTAAAATGAGTTTGTGCATAGCTAAAATTAAATCCTATAAATCACGTGTAAACCAATCAAAGAAATATCAAATTCTGCCTATTCAAATCAAGCCAAAATAGTACGTAGACTTGTGCATTATGCCTAGATTGCCTCTTAACTCGTCTGAAGAAACTCAACAACATCATCAGCTATATCTCCAAGTTTCAATCATCATACAAACAGAATTCCAGTTAAGCTTCTAAACCAGGAGATTGCTTCATCCCGAGGCAGAGAAACCAACCAGACATGATTTTCAGGATATACTAAGGTAGACAAAAAGACCATTCAGAAGCACACATTTAATACTAACATCACCATCATACCAATTTGACAAGCAAAATTGACCACCGTACAAATCCACAAATTTTTAAAAGAGGAAACAAGTGGGTATTGTTTAGCCAGGGCATATAGATCGAAAACTAGCAAGATCAGTAAGATCAAACACAATCCAACAACAACCAAAAAAAACAAAAACAGTGGTCAGAACATTGGGAATTCCCAGTCAACGGCAATCACAGATGTGATGAAGATTACCAAGAGACCCGAAAGCTGAAACAGTAAGAAAGAGCAAAAAGGCAGAGTCTTTGACGAAAATGGAACCTGGGCTATGGATCCTGCGTTAGAGAGGCGGCGATTAGCAGCGACAGAGTCAGAAACGAAGAAGCCATTGGGGTACAAGAAAGCGAAGACGCATCCAATAAGGACGCCAATTGCAACTGCGGTTAGGACCCTGGATTTGCGTAGAGAGTTTGGGTTGTTGTTCCTCATCAAGGGTCCCTCTCTGTCTCTGCGCCCAATCATTGTATCTCCGAAACCCGATGGTTGTTGGGTTTTATAATAACTGTTTGGGGTTAAAGGGAAACAACAATGGAACGATTAAAGTTGGTGTTGTTGTTCTTCTGAGAAAAAGCATTCATTCCCTTTGAACTCTGAGACTGATCGTGATTGAGCAACAAGTTTCTCGGATTCTTCTTACACGCACATACAATATTATTCTTCTAATTTTTCATGTAATTGTTGAGAAGTATCAAATCGCGAGTGCAGAGAAAAATAAAATACAAAGTTGACTTGCCTGGTAATTAAATTAAAATTAAAACAAGTACAAAAAGTAAAACCCTACTTAATTTTAGTTTGAATAAAAAACTACACGAATAATACCTTCACCATGTTTTTATTTTTGTTGGTAAAAATAAGTTTTTTAAAAGATATAATTAAAAAGTAAAAATCATCAGTTAAATTTTTCATAAAATTTAATCGTTAATAAATATAAAGGACCAAAGTAATACTACGAATTTTCTTTCACAAAAAAGCACGAATTACTTTTATTTTTCTTACTGTTAATAAAAAAAAAGTTACTAATCAGAATTAACATTAGAATAGACAGAAGAATAGTGAGGTCAAATGTATTTTTAATATTAATTCAGATGTTCTTTTCAGACAAATTGTTTTCAATTTATCTTTTTACATGATCCACATTATCCAATTACAATTATAACATCGATTTTTAAAAATTATGACTCTAAACAAGTTAATTAAAAATAAATGTTAAGTCTCTAAAGGAACCAATTATATATTTTGTTCTTATGTGTAAAAGTCGTTTTCAATTTAATCCTTGAACTTTAAAATAAATCAATACAAATCTTACATACTATATAAAAAACAGAGAATTTTGGAAATAATTGTAAGGATTTAAGTTGAATATTGATAATTTTTTCTTGTATAAAAATCAAATGAAAAATAGACACTATATTTCGGAATTAAAATCATGTTCATAATGGCTGCATTAAAGCTCATGAATAAACTAAAAGTACACAAAAAAAAAGGAATAACGCTTTAAATGTTGATTAAGCGCGGAAAGTTGGAAATAAAAAATATCTAATAAAATGACAGAAAACTAGATAACCCGGTCACAACTTAAATTTAGTAACTATAATTTTTATTTTCAACAACTATAACTTTTCATATTCCAATTTATTTCAAAAATACTGTCT